CTCTGCATTCTATTTTCGAGAGCGTTCGGGAGGGCGACCTCCTCTCTTCCATTGATCTCACTGAGGCTTACCTCCACCTCCCAATTTGGCCTCATCATTGCCAGTTTCTCCGTTTCTGTTATCAGAATACCCATTACCAGTCTCGAGCACTTCCCTTTGGCCTCTCATCGGCTCCAAGGGTCTTCACAAAGGTTCTGGCAGCATTGGTGGCATCTCTGCGTTCTATTCCAGTGAGGATCCAATGCTACTTGGACGACATTTTGATTCTTTCCTCTTCTATCCTTGTGACCCATCGGGATCTGCAAATTACCCTGTCATGTCTCCAGAGCCACGGATTTTCCATCAACACCAAAAAGAGCCAGCTCTCTCCTACAACCAAATTGCAACACTTGGGAGCAGTCATCGATACCATGTCGTGTCAGGTTTTCCTGTCCCCAGCTTGTGGAAAGAGCCTTGCAGAGATCATCAGCCAGATCCAGCAACATCAAATTGTGCCCCTGTTGCTGCTGTCCAAACTTCTGGGGGAGATGGTTTCCTGTATTGGCATCGTCCCATGGGCTTGGCTCCACTCCCGAGCCCTCCAATGGTTCCTGCTTCCCTACCAATGAGCAGGAACCAGCCACTCATCCATCAAGGTCCCACTCCTGCCACAAATCCGGAGATCTCTCAATTGGTGGCATTCCCCATTTATCTGGAGGGGACTCCTGTTCAGGGACCCAGACAGGCTAGTGATAACCATCGATGCCAGCCTCCTGGGTTGGGGTTCCCATATGCAGGGCCAGATAGCTCAGGATGTTTGGTCCAGATCAGAACAGACCCTTCCCATAAATTGGCTAGAGTTCAGAGCTATTTTTCTGGCTCTCAAGCATTTCAGGCAATCAGTGACTGGCTCTCATGTTCTAGTCCTTACGGACAACATGGCCGCAAAGGCTCATGTCAACCGGCAAGGGGGGACGAGGTCCAAAGCCCTCATGAGAGAGGCTCTACGGCTGGGGTTATGGGCAGAGAAACACCTGTTATCGATCTCGGCAGACCACATCTCTGGGGTCGACAACTCCCAGGCCGACTGGCTCAGCAGGAGCCTACTCGACCAGGCAGAATGGTCCATTCCTCCGTCTCTATTCAGGGATCTTTCCCTCAGATTCAGAACACCAGAGGTGGATCTTTTCTCCACTCCTCAAGACGCCCAAGTCATCAGATTCTTCACCAGGTTTCCTTGCCAGGGAGCAGAGGGGACCAATGCTCTTTGGTGCAGATGGCCCAAGGGTCTCCTCTACGCCTTTCCCCCGCTTCCCATCATTCCAACAGTAATTCGGAAGATGTTGGAGGAATGTGCGGAGCTCCTCCTGGCACCCTATTGGCCAAGGAGGCCCTGGTTTGCGGACCTGGTCAACCTATCGGTGGCTTCTCCTTGGAGGATCCCTGCCCATCTAATCTCCCTTCACCAGGGGGCCCTGCTCCACCCAGAGCCCCAGTGGTTCAAGCTGACCATGTGGCACTTGAGCGGCAGTGGCTAGAGAAGGCTGATCTTCCAGAAGGGGTCATCCTCACTATCCTGGCTTCTCGCAAACCTTCCACAAGGCACATCTATGATGCCACCTGGAAGGCTTTTTCCCGATGGTGCCTCAGGGAGGGTCTTTCTCCTGCTTCAGCCCAGTTGGCAGAAGTTCTTAGCTTCCTTCAGCATGGGCTGGAGAAAGATTTGGCCCCCAACACCTTACGCAGGCAGGTTGCGGCCCTCTCCTCAGTCCTTTCATGGGGTTCACTTCCTTCCTTATCCCATCACACTTCAGTCAGGAGGTTTTTGAAAGGGGCTTCCAACCTGCACCCTCCGGTGGTTCACAGGTATCATTCATTTGGTCCTTAATGCCCTTACAAAGCCCCCCTTTGAACCCCTTAGAACAGTGTCTCTCTTTTTCCTGACTCTGAAGATAGTGTTCCTTGTTGCCATCACTTCTGCCAGGAGGGTTTCCGAGCTTGCCGCTCTTTCCATCAGACAGGACCTTTGTTCCTTTCACAATGATAGGGTTGTTCTTCGTCTGGACCCCGCATTTATTCTGAAGGTTAACACCTGGTTTCACAGGCCCCAGGACATTGTTTTGCCTGACTTCTGTCCTCTCCCGCACCATGACTTAGAGCGGCAGTGGCACATGCTAGACGTAAGAAGGGCTCTTAGAATATACATTAAGCGCACTTCCTCCTTCAGGAAGTCAGAAGCCATGTTTGTTTCCTTTTTCCCTTCTCACTTGGGGCACAAGGCCTCTTCTCCTACTATTAGCAGGTGGGTCAAGTCTTGCATTGAGCAGGCCTACAAAACTGCGGCCCTTCCGGTTCCCCGAGGTGCACTCTACCAGAAGCACAGCCACTTCTGCTGCCTGGGCGACCCAAGCATCCTTGGAGGAGATTTGTCGTGCGGCCACGTGGACATCCCCATCTCCTTTCATCAGACACTACCATCTGGATGCTTTTGCCTTGGCGACTGCAGCCTTCGGCAGACGGGTGCTTCAGCGAGTGGTTCCACAGTCGGTGTGATGAGCCAGATGAGGACTCACCCGTGGACATACAAGCTTTGGTATGTCCCATCCTGGGCTCTCGATGCAGCATGGAGGAGAATGGGCGTTGGTAGAAGTTACCCTGAACGCCCTTTCTATCTATGCTGCGAGAGAGCCCAGCCCCTCCCTTGATTCGTCCGGAGAGGGTAAGACATATTTCTGTGTTCTGTCTCACCTGTGGCCACAAGGTGAGAGTCCAAATGTCCAAAGGAAAAAACACGAACAGACAATATCAGGAACAACAGAGTTAACTTTCCTCTGGCTGAAGTCGTCGTTGGCAGCTTTCCCAGAAGCTGTCTGCAAATCCAGATAACGAGCAGCACTATAAATCAGAGCCGAGCGGCAAACAGAAAACTTTTTCCAAACTGCGAACATAAATAACAAAGTTTGACCCGAACGGGGATTCCAAGCTAACACGCCTCCTTATATTCCTTGAAGGGGCGTGTCAGTCTCTCTACTCAGTCCCTGATTTGACGTTTCCTTTCAATTTGTGCTTGACGTCTCAGCCTATGTCTAGTCCTTACATCAACCCAACATTCATCGGCTTGATCATCACCCAAGGACTCCGGCACATTCTGTTGATCATCTGCTGACACCTGAGGCATAATTGATGAGGAAGGTTCTGGAGAGGATGGTAATTCCGACACTTCCTCACCCTCCTGGCTCACGTCTGCATCTCCCATTAAAGCAGGCTCAAATCCCAATGCCAAACCCTCCTCATCACTCGAACCTGTGTCTTCTGACACATCAGACTCAAAGCGCACAGCAGGCTCAAACCTCTCAGTCACAACATTTCTGTATTTATTTTGGGCTTTCAGAGACACCTTTCATTCTGTCAAGTATCTTCGCCAAAGCTGGGGTCTCTCCCGGGGGCTGGCTTTTATATCTTAGTACAGACTCAGCTATGATGTCATAGGAAGGAGTCAACCCATCCTGGGCTCTCTCGCAGCATAGATAGAAAGGGCGTTCACGGTAACTTCTACCAATGCCCATTCTTAGACTAGTTGTATCCCTGCCACTACAAACTCCAGCCTTGTCGACATACAGGAGTTGCTTTCTACTCCTCCTAAAACCAATTAGCTTCCCTTCCCATTTCTTTGATCAGTTGTTCAGGAGTTAAAATAAATGAAGCTGAATGTGTGGGAGGAAAAATATTTCTCAACCTTGTTCTCAAAGTCTGGGTTGGGAAATGGGCACCATAAATCTTGTCAAAGAAGAGTGTCATAATATACTTGGTTGCACACCATTCACATCTGCCGCATTGGGGGACAGAAAGCCTCACAAAATGTGAATTGTTGTCTTATAATTATTCTGTATTGGAGGGTGATACAGCAAACTGTGTTTCTTAAAATGAAAGTGTGACATGGATCTGATCTGCAAAACAAAGATGATTCAGGGTTTGTTATCAGAATTAGCAGTCGGTTTACTTTTACTCCCAAGCTGACCTCATGAGGATTCTGTCAAGGATCATGTGACTGTCAGGCCAGCGTCCATTTTAAAAACCTTGCCAGCTGTTTAAATGACAGTACAAGTAATATGAATATTTTTATCACTATTCATTCTACACACCCCCACAGTCACATTTTGGGGACGGATGAGTCCACTTTAAAGAGCAGTTCATTTATAATGCAACCCTGTAAACATTTTAACTGGGGAAGTTTGAACATCAATGATTCTTCAGTAGGAAGTCTGGTTATCGGTTGAGATCCTTGGTTTATCAATATTTTTTAAAAAACACGATTTGTGTCAGTTAAAATTAGCATAAGTTTCAAGGAGGAAAAAAAGTGGGAAGGTTAAAACTGGATGTAGACAACAATTGCTGGAGAGTAGAGTTTTAAAAAAATTAAAGCATCTTTTGTGGGACAAAACACAGCTGAATTTGACACAGTGCAGAATCTGCATGAACTTCATAAACAATGTCCTGAAAGACAATCTTATTACCCATTAAAAAAAAAAAGTAAGAACATTTGTGGTTTGTCAAAAGCAGCAAAAGCACATTCTTTTACAGCTGCTCAGAACATTAAAAGCTGCCTTCCCAGACCAGATTAATGTTGTTTCTGAGCAATGAAATGCAGATGGAACAAAAGTAATTTCTGAGAATGGGTGTCAAAACAGAGTTTATCATTTTAATAACATATCTGGTATTGGAATAGCATAGTAAAATTTCTGACTGCTGCATCTCACATAAAAACGGCTTTTTTCCATCTGGATTTAAATTGCTATAATTGTCAGAGGAAGATCGATGAAAAGAAAATAACACCAATGCCTGAGTCACAGTTTGGAGCCAAAGTATTTCTATCACATTTTGAATGTTAGCCTCTAACTCTGAGGACCTTCTTTCAGCTTCTATACAGTATTCAGCTCTTTAGTAAAATAAAATAAAGAATGAAAATGACATTTGTTGGGGGGGGGGAAATCACCTTTTTGATGTTCCACCTCTTTCTCTAGACCTTGGCAAGTTGATGCTCATCAAAGATGGCTACAGTTGGGTTGATGTCCTCTTGCGCATGTGCCCGTTCCCTGGTACCTTTGCTTAGGTTGGGGATCCCCAAAACGTGTTTGTCCCAGTTACATACGACAGCCGCGTCTGCTTCAAAAGATTACTACGAGGTGCTGGTGCTTGGAGGAGGTTCAGGGGGGATCACGATGAGTGCCCGGATGAAACGGAAAGTCGGAGCTGACAATGTGGCCGTGGTGGAACCCCAGGAGGTAAATCCTGAATTCTGGAATTCTGAAATGTTGGGGTTTGGAGGCATTATGCAAAATATATATAGTATGGAATTATAAATCATTAATGTATCCTGGAACGAAGGGTACCTTTTCTGATATCCTCTTTAAATCTAGACTTTTTGAAGGGCCTTCTCTCAATTAAAAAAATTAACAATGAATTGGTATCTGTTCTCTGTTGAGGGAAACAGGGAAAAACATTACTTAATTAAATTAATGAAAACTTTCCCCCATATCTGTACATGTAACTATATCTGGGAAAACCTTTCCCCAGATCTGTACAACTAAAATGGACTTAGAACGTCATTTGTTGAACAATAAAACACACCTTTTTTTAAAAGAAAGGAACATCTAAAAACCAGTTTGTGAGATCTTTTATTTTCACGGACCAGAGTAATAACCCACTAGGTGTAGTATACTGTTGGAAACATCTACAGTAATAACATGGGCGTGAGTATCATCTGGAGATATCAAAGTACTTTTATAGCATACTTGCAGCTTCTTTGTTCAGGATCCATAATTGCATAGAATGGTAGACTAGAATTTTTACCACTGATTATCAGAATGCTAATGGATATCATTTAATTGCTCTTGAGTGGACCTCTGACCAAGGTGCATTTTTGGTAAGCCTCAACAGTTTCATCCACTGATTGTTGAAGTCATACAAACCAAGAATTTGGCTTGTCTTCTAGAACTTAAGAACTATCTGGGTTTGTTAGCTGTCCCCCTTGGCAGGACAAACCAGCAAGAAGGATTGGGTGTTTGCTCAGCCATAAACACAAATTCTGATTTGCTATTTTGTAAGTCACTGAATTAGCAGGCATTTCATTTAATCGGGGACAGCCAATCAAAATGATTAATAATCATGGTAACCCATCGTGTTAAGAAGTAACCTGGTTTGCTTGGTTTCATTTTGCATGTTGTAATGAAACCCAGGCATTTTGACTTGTCAACCTGTTTAGGGTTTAAATACTGTATATTGCAGGAGTCTAATTATGGTTTATTCATAAAGCAGTTAAGCAAACAACAGTTTGATATCCCAAAGGTGCTTTTTTCAGGAGGCAATTGGACTTACTTGTTTTTCTTTGAAGACGTTTCGCTTCTCATCCAAGACGTTTCTTCAGCTCTGACAGGATAGTAGGGAATGGAAGAATTTAATACTTTATTTATTCCCCACTATCTTGTCAGAGCTTCTTGGATGAGAAGCAAAACGTCTTCAGAGAAAAACAAGAAAGTCCAGTTGCCTCCTGAAAAAAAATCACCTTTGGGACAACCATGACCTGGATGACTGAGAAACTCCACAGACTTTTAACAGTTTGACATCTAGTGTAAAAACAATCGATCTTGAAAAACACACACAATTAGTTTGCAAAAGCCATTGTTAGAAAAACCAGGTGAAGGCAGTTCAGTTAAATAAGGAACTCGGCAATATTCTAAAGCAGTAGTTCTCAAATCTTTTCATCATGGACCCCCTTCAAATATCTTTTGTGGCCATGGACCTTCAAGACTTAACTCAAGATTTAAACCATAATATTCCCTCAAGCCTTTGCTTGATAACATGTCCCACAGGGGTCTAGGGAACAGTTATGAACCACTGTTCTTTTTCCCAACCTAATATAGATATATTAAATCCAGATATATTAAATTTATGTCTCTCAAAATTCTCATTTAATATAATTAAGAGACGTTCTTGAACCCGATTGCCAGTTCTCTCTAGAAGTATCAGCTCTCTGATTTTGTACATTCATTTCTGTTCTTCTTCTTATGCTTTCTTGCACAGTTTATCTCCACAATTATGTCTTTCAGAAACACTATTATCAACCCCTCTGGACTTTAGTTGGAGCTGGGGCGAAGCAGTTGGCCACTTCAGAACGTTCAACAGCAAGTGTTATTCCTTCAGGGGTAAAGTGGATCCAATCCAAGGTGGAAAAGTTGGATCCAGACAACAACTGTGTCTATTTGGGGAACAATCAAAAGGTGGGTCGCCCATTGATTTATCTGTTCAGTTAAATCTTACTTGTGTAAACAATTGATAAGCTCAAATACATGAGATTTAGCCTTGGGTTTAAATGGGTTACTCATCTATATGAGTAATATTTAATACATAAATTGAATAGTTCTGCCAGCTTTTCTCATAAATGTTTTTTTGAACTTCTTAAAAAAACTATATTATTTATTTAGTTTGGCATTATTCTTGCCTGCAATATTCGATGAGGATAGGAGAGACTGTTTGCATTTCCAGCATTTTGAGACCAACTGTCTGTTTGAATAACCCTTAGTTCCTGTTTAAGATAATTGTTTTCTTCTTTCTTTGACAGGTATCTTACAAGTATTTGATTGTTGCTCTCGGGCTGCAACTGAATTTTGAAAAGGTAAACAACTCTGTTAGCATTTTCTTAGAAGTTTTCTCTACTGTTAGGAAGCAAGTTCCAGTGACTTATATGTTCTTTGCACGAAAGTCCCCAAATACAGAGCACAATGTGAGAAATAGTATTGCGTCTTTTCCATTGCATCTTTCTTTCTCTGTGGAAATTGTGCAACTGAGATTGTGCAACAGTGAAAGAAATCCTTTAGAGACCTCTAGTGCTTTATCAGGAAATTGAATGTATCCAGGACACCTACCATGTTGTTGTGAAATGAGCTTGTTTTAAGGGTGGGCACACAAAGTGAATACCAAGATAATCACTAATTGGGAATTTTGGGAGGCTATGTGAGTATAGCACGATTATTTTTCTCCTTTAAGGATGCTAGGTTATAATTCAGCACTGGAAATGAGTATTGATCTTTATTCTGGGTTCATCTACTAAAATAAAAAAAGATAGAAGATAGATGAAGAAAATGGAACCCACAGCTAAACTTTTTTAATTCATGTATTTATCCAAATCATGCTTCCTCTAAATTGGAATACATGATAGCTAAGGGAACTCCTTAATCTCTTTGCCATACATCTCTCCTGTTAATTCAGCCAATGATTTACAGCAGATGTAAACCAATGCCAGTGTGACGACTTAATCTGAGTATTTTGCAAATATTTACACATCGAGGTAATATTCACAAATCAAATTCAATATGAATGGAGTATCTCTGGGATATGATCTTGGCTTTAGGGAAGTCTGAGCAGATGTATGACAACATTATGCTAAGCTTTAATTTAAGCTTACCCTGGATGTAGTATGTTGTGTGAACTAAACCCACAGGTGACTTATTCAACAAAGCACCACTAAAGGAACTATGGCTAACATGATTAATGAGCCAGGATAATATGCTAGGAATCAGTGGTGGGATTAAAAAATGTTTATTACCGGTTCTGTGGGCGTGGCTTGGTGGGCTTGGCAGGGGAAGGTTACTGCAAAATCCCCATTGCCTCCCCACCCCACTACCCTGCTTTCCAGCTCCGTTCTCCTGTGCAGGGCAACCAAAGAAGACCCAGCCAATCAGCTGGGACTTGGGAGGTGGAGAATAGATGGGGGCAGGGCCAGTCAGAGGTAGAATTTGACGGTTCTCTGAACTACTCAAAATTTCCGCTACCGGTTCTCCAGAACTGGTCAGAACCTGATGAAAATCACCGCTGCTAGGAATTAAATGGGTTCCTGGGTGTAAACAGCCTGCATGTTTAATCCAGTGAAATACTATACTGCTAATTTTGTCTTATTACAGATCAAAGGCCTGCCTGAGGGTTTTAAGTTTCCTAAAATTGGTTCCAATTATTCCGTTCACACAGTGGAGAAAACATGGAAAGCTCTGCAGGATTTCCAGGAAGGAAATGCCATTTTCACCTTTCCAAATACTCCCGTGAAATGTGCAGGGGCGCCACAAAAGATCATGTATCTGACAGAGGCGTACTTGAGAAAGGTACGTACCAGCCACTGTACAAGTAGCGTAGTTGCCTAAACAGGTAACAAAAAACCGTTGTAATCCCAAAGACCCAGGTTATTGAAAGTGCACTTATCCTAGTTTAAACTGCAGCTAGAATATAAGCTTAAAATATGGGTAGTTTTAGTCCTCCAATTGAAGACATACAAGCAATTTTGTTAAATCAATAGGACCAACTGGTTAAATTTGCACAAAGGACTATAGTACTAATTAAGCATATCCAATATATTGATGCAGACATCAAATGGAGACCTTTGATTCAGTGTAGTTTTGGTATGTATCATGAATCCCATTACTGCAAGTTTAAACAGTGTTTTAATAGATGCATCTATTAAATTGGGTGAATGATTTACTGTGGTTTCTTCAAAAATTGTTAGCTTAAATCTTTTTGGGCAGGCTATATAAACCCAGTTCTGGTTAATCAACTTAATAGATAAAGATTCTTCCTTTGGGCAGGAGGAGATTGGTCTATTCTAGCAGACCTCCAAGTCCCTTTCAGCCCTATGATTCTTCGACTGATTAAAATATAAAAGTACAGACAAGAATGAGTGGCGAAATCGAGGGTTTTCAAGAATGCATCATTTTTCTTCTTCTCATTTCCCCTAGACTGGAAAACGGTCCAAAGCCAAGATCATATTCAATACTTCTCTTGGAGTGATATTTGGTGTTAAGAAGTATGCTGATGCTCTGCTAGAGATTATCAAAGAAAGAGATATTACAGTGAACTACAGATGGAACCTCGTGGAAGTCCGAGCAGATAAGCAAGAAGCCGTATTTGAGAACTTGGACAAAGCTGGTGAAATGCAAGTTTATCGGGTGAGCAAATGGAATTTTTCAGTGAATTTCTCTTGACTTATTAATTTCCTGTTTATGGTTTAGGTTGCTTCTCTTGTTTAGAACTGGCAGGAAAAAAAAGTGTGGATGGAGAATAGGATGAGCTTTTTCGAAATATACCTACAACGGTGTTATCCATCCTTATGCGATTAAGTTAGAAGCACCAAAATTACAGGTAGTTCTTGGTGAATGGTTTTAATTCAAGGCAGCCATCAGATGAAACTTAACACAACTTAGCAATGGCAGTTTCAGTGGTCCTTTTGCAGCTGTTAGTTCAAGACAAGTCGTCTCCTGTCCGCTCTCTTTTAACTCCCCCTCCTCCATCTGTCTTCCCCTCATTTTTGCCCTTTTGTCCAACCTGCTACTTTGCTGGCCCCAGCTGACCTTCACCATTATTTTTCCTTCCATTGCTGACCACGCATGCTCGGCCTGGCCCTATACAAGGCAGCTGCGGACTGCTGATGGCCTTCTCTCTGCAGCTAGGATGCCAAGAGCTCTAACTGAACACCTAAAGGCCATGATTTCAAGGAGCCAGTGGTAAAGACCCAGGTTATTGGGAGGCAATATGCTGACTCTGTAAACTGCTTAGAGTGGACTGTAAAGCACTGTGAAGTGGTATCTAAGTCTTAAGTGCTCTTGCTATCCAATGGTACATACCACTCGTTCAGCACTGTTGTTAGGTTCCAACAATTGCTGAACAAATGGCTGTTAAGCAACAATTGCCTGTAAGCTGTTGTAGAAGGACGGACCAAACCTGGAAGGAAGAACCTGTTCCTCAGTTGCTTAGTTAAGGAACCTTCATCTCAGTTGGGGTATTTGGCTGCATCCAATCTGCAACTGCAGAGATCCATCTCATTTGTGAGGGTTCTTGTTGCTCCCCTAGCCTGGTGGTTTTCTTGCAGACGTTTCATTACCAAACTAGGTAACATCGTCAGGCACTGTTGATGTTACCTGTTTGGTATAATGAGACATCTGCAAGAAAACCACCAGTTCAACCCTGAGCTACAAATATTCCCTTCTTATCGGAATGTCATTTGTTTCTCTTTCTCTGCTCCAGTATGAAATGCTTCATGTCACTCCACCCATGGGGCCCCCCAGCGTCCTGTTAAACAGTCCGGTTTCTGACGGTGCTGGATGGGTGGATGTAAACAAGGAGACACTGCAACATGTGAAATACCCAAATGTTTTTGGGATTGGAGACTGCACCAATCTCCCTACCTCCAAGACTGCTGCAGCTATAGGTGAGATTAATTTTTAGGTACTGTACTTTGCATTTTGGTGTCCTTGTTGCAAGCCAAGAGCCAGTTTTAAATGTTGAATCAAATCCCCTTGTGCCTGAAAGTATTTGATTCGATCATCACAGAGATCCCAATTAGGATTCAATACAAGACATTTTTCTGTGGAATAGGGGGGAAAGAGAGGGCCTCAAAGCCAATGTCAATAGGTCATATAAATGGCTACATTTATAGTGATTATCACTACATTTATAGTGATTATCCACAATTTGGCTGCTCTTGGGAACATTCCCAACATGATCCCCAAAACCTGCAACCGACGTCAGAGTTAAGCCACCTTAAAAATTATAACTCTGCTTTCTTTTCAGTAGAAATATGAGACAAAATAAAACATTTTATCTCTTCCGCAGCTGGCCAGTGTGGTGTACTTGATAAAACAATTTCATGTATCATGAAAGGCAAAACTCCCACTAAGAAGGTAACTTTTCCTGAAAAGGAACAATATATTTGCTTTTCATTGGGACAATGGGCTTTTATTATGTTGGGGAAACATTCGTATTTGCAATGCAACGTGCTGATTTTTTTAACTCATTTGGAAGGCTCTGAAGACTGAAGTTTTATATACATCTCTAAACGGTATTGTAAAGTTGATAGCAAAATAATGGCAAGGATTTCTTTCCATGGCTCCTAATTGTGGTAGCTGGATTCATCCAATGACAGCGAATTGAGATTAAAGAGAAAGTATAATTTCTTCACACAGTACATTAAACTCTGCAATACCTTAAATTTAAGAAGGGTTACCAGTTTGAATGACTTTAAAGGGGGATTAGACAAATTCATGGAGCATGAAGCTCCTTAAAGCATAATATGTGAGAACCATATGCTTTTCCTGTCCCTTTTCCTGTTCTAAAAGGCATATTTTTAAAAATGTTTTTGTAGTATGATGGGTATACTTCCTGTCCTCTGATAACCAACTACAACCGAGCAATCCTGGCTGAGTTTGATTACAATGCTCAGCCTTTAGAAACATTTCCATTCGACCAGAGTAAAGAGAGATTGATAAGTTTTCATCTGAAGGCTACCATGATGCCCTATCTGTATTGGTATGGACTTCTGAAGTAAGTATTCTAGTGTACCACAATTCATAATATGCAAGGGTTAAGGGGAACTGACTCCCAGGAAAGTAGTTAATTCTGCATTTATTAATTGCATAGATAGGTAGGCTTAATTTGAGCAGGGCCACTTATTTAAAAAAAAGAACACTAGATAATGGTAAAGAAAATATGAATGCTATGAGATAGATTGAACTGTAGTCAGTCGGTCAGTCCATCCATCCAGTGCAAATTTTTAACTGTTAATGTCCTATTTCCTCCTGTGCCAATTTTAACTTTGGCCTCTTCCTGCAAAAATAAACAATGGTGTCCCCTAGTTTTCAAAAGTAAACATCAACTGAATATCCAGAAGTTCTTGTCTTAGTCTGTTCCAGAAAAAATAGTTTGTAGCACTTCCTTATTTCAGTGTCGGAAATTATATTGTAATGTTTAATTCCCATGCTTCCTTTGATTCTATTATAACGAGCAGCAATGTTTACTCTTGACATAGTGCTACATTTAATGTCAGGAAATATTTAACAAGTTTAATCATCTGTGACGGTATAAATAAATCTTTTTCCCCTCCTTTCTCACAGGGGATATTGGGGTGGCCCAGGTCCAGTGAGGAAAATATTTCACCTTGGGTTGAAGTAATAGTTGGAGTCATCTTCTGCCAGCTACAAATTATGTAACACTTAAAACAAAAGCATTCAGATTCTTCACAGAAATTAATAAAATGTAACTTCTCTGTAGGAATGCAACCTTCAGAGTCCTCTGCACCTTAAAATACAGGTACAGTTTTTCCTTATTTCTGTACTTACAAGTAGCGAAGTATTGCCCAGTAAGCACAGCCAGCTGCTGTATTTTTAGCAGTGCCAAATTGACAGAATTAGCTTCTGTAAGCTTCAGTAACTGCCACTGTGGATGTGTAACCTAAAATGACCTTAATTAACTTACCTCACTTTGTTCAGGAATTTTACATGGTGGTTTTTTTTTAAAAAAAACTGTTGACCAAGGGTTTTAAGTACCAACTCTTGCTAACTGACACATCAAGAGCCCCTTGCTTTGTTTTAAACAGAAGGCATGCGTTTCTTCATTACTAAAGAGAAAACACTCCAACCGTCCCCATTTGAATGCCACAATGGTTATCCTGTTGTGAGAATGAACAGAAGGATTTGCAATACTGAATTAGCTTTTCACGTTGTTTTAGTCATGGTTTCCTACGCAGGACCCTTTTCGGCTGCGATGTCTCTGCTCAATTATAGAGCCCTTTCTCAATGGCTGGTGAAGTGTCATAGCTTGTGGACAGATCAGAACTTTGCAAAGAGAAGGGACTGCTTCAGTATCCGACAGAACAGCTTTGAAAAAGTCAGTAGCTGGAGACCTCAGAAGATCCTCTTTTCCTGACTTGCCAAAGGGGCCTATCCAAATGAATACAAGGATGCCTCTCATGATATAAAGCAGCTTTCGGAAGACTGAATTAAGCAAAAAAAAAAGCACAATTCCACAAAGATACAACAAAAAGTAATAGTTGTCTTTTAATCAAGGCCAGATTTTAGAGCTTTACAATTGGGATTCATACAAAATCACCTTTAAGTCAGCATCCACACACATTAAAAGTTACCAAAGAAATATCTTCTCAGGAGTGTCCCAGCCATTTGTTTATTGCTGTTAGAAGGGAGAAAAAAAGTATGGTGAATGGCTGTTGTACATCTTTGCAAATATAGTAAAGCTATCATTCTAGTTCCATTGAAGTCAACAGCATTTTGAGTAGAAGTTTAGGAATTCATGGTAAAGAGAAAAATTTTATCAGAAGTATAATCTCAAATGGTCTCTATCTTTCTATCAAACTATCTTTATCATAACAATTCTCTGTTTTTAAGGTGGATACACAAACCAGAAAATATATTTTCAAAATCCAAACAAGCCACTGTACTGTGGAAATTCTGTGGAACCATTTCAAATTAGCTTGGTAAAACAAAAAACAGAATATTTTAAGTGCTCCCGGTTTCAAATGAAACAAAGCAGAGGGATCCTAAAGTTATTTTATGGAATGGTTGCAGGGAAAGGTTGCTGTCACCTTCTGTCCAATTCTCCTCCCCAGCAGTTGTCAAGCATAACATATCCTATGAGCTAAAGTTTCCCAACCCCTCGCCGATGTCCCAGCATGGCCCATTCCAGCTCCCCAGTGCCATCCTTTCTGTGTCCCTTCTAGGATGCTGGAAACAGAACTGTTCTCTTGTTGTATGCTTGAATGGTTTCACGAGTAGGCAGTAAGCGCAACTTATTCTGTCCCGCAATCCTAGCACCTTCCCTTCTCTCCCCAATCACTAACATCCTTGATCTTTTCCAAATTCCATACCAAGCCACTATTCACCGCTTACTGACCTACGTCCAGAACAATTCCATCTTTATCAGGAAGCCTTTGAATAGAACAGTAAGCACTGAATTCTTACATTTGTAATCAACACTCCAAAACAAAACAAAAAACAAACAAACCCTGTTGCTAGGGTTTTTTTGTATGTAATAATTTGCATGTGAGTTTGCTCCCATGCTTTTAAGTAAAATGCTTACCTGCACGTGAATCAGTTCTTCTAAATTGTTCTGGATGTGATTGTAAACGGTGTCAAAAAGTTCCTCCCTTGATTTTGTCCCATCCAAATGAACTGGAATAGAAGAAGCACCATTTGATAATAAGAACTATTTTGCTGAGCTCAGTATTTTCATTAGGTGAAATAAGCTATATATTGCAGCTTGCTACTACAAATTTAGTGAATGACAGCTTGTTCGAACTATGCTTTCTTTAAAACCATGGCTATTATACAGCTACTAACCTTCACTAAATAAAAACAAAGTCCAGGCAATTAAGCAAAATCATTCTTTCTGACCCAAGCAATCCCTCCATCCTTTTCATTTTCAGTCTGTGGGGAGATGCAAAGTAAATGATAAACAGAACTAGTTATAAACTGTTACAGTTTTAAGTCAAATAATTTTTTGTAACATGTTATGTTTGCAAACAACCCCAAGAATGTTATTGAAAGATCTAGATTTTGAAACATAATTATCCGACTTAGCGATACAAGAAAATCAAATTCCAAAGGGGCTTCCAAAATCCAGTTGAACTTACCAACATCAACATTAAGGTTTTCCATCACTTTCTTATGTTTGATGTACATGGGCCAGACATGACCATCAAATAATCCAGGTGGATCTGGGACGGTGTAATTCCTTGAACTAGAGAAAGAAAGAAAAAACCCTTTGAATTTGGGTTGTTTATGTAGATCTTTTAAAGCCATTCAGTCCTTCTAGATAGCCACCTCTAAATGCAACTTCTCATGTCATGGACTTACCTTCTCCTCCTCTTACATTCTTCATAAGGAATAGAAAGAAAATACCGGACATCAAAAATATCGATCATGGGTCTGAAAAGTAGGAAAATCTCTCAGGTTTTGTTAAAAGAAAACACAAGGCTAGGCCAAGTCCCATCTTGTGCATTATCATATTTTTAACCAAGTCTGTAAGCTTCTGGGAAAATCACCACCAGAAAATGAAGCCTTCCCCAAAGGGAAGACAGGTTGACTCTGGCGGAGCTCAAACGATTTACATATCTATTCTCTTACAAATCGCTAAATGCTTTTTCCAAAACCACCTTCAGTCAGCGTCCAATATTAATCACAACTGCACTTACGTACCACGTTAAATCATTATTTGTTTTTGCATTCTGGCTGGGGAATTCTGGAAATTGAAGTCCATACTAAAGTTGCCAAGTTTGAGAAACACTACCCTCTCCAAAGAATCTTAGAATATTTTAGGTTGCACCTATATTATTTCAGAAATAGCTCATTTGCTTGTGTTTTTATGGCTTCTTCATTCACTACAAATAAGCTTCTACGGATTTTTTATCTACCTAAACCTCTTCTTCCTGGTTTATGCCCTGTAATAGGTAGATTATCAGCTATGGGTTAAATGCAACCGAACATTCCCTCAAGAAAGTGCTTCTCCTTCGTACTTCTTTATATATAAATAATCTAAGAGCACTGGAACAAGTAAAATTTATCTAATCTCCACCTACTCTCATGTACATTGTACAATCAAAATGGTTCACACCATTCCTGTTGCCTTATCTGTCAAATACTTGCTAAGAATAAACAAGTGTTAGCAGGTACTTGATTAGATACAGAAAGCTGGGACAGCCCTCAAGATATTTGAAACTTTTATTCACCAGCCAAAAATATCAGGACCTAAAGAACATTCTACTATTGGAAGTCATTGCCTTGACGTCTGTTACCTGTAAGTGTAAAGTAAAAATCCTTCCACAATAAGAATATGAATGGTGTTGTCATTTTCCTCTATGGTGCTAGTATGAAGTGTATTAATGCCGTGGGATCGCTCAAACTTGACTGGATTTTTTCTCCAGGCACTGATGGTATTCATCATTGCATCCATATCCAAAGCACTAATAACTTAAGGCAAAAGAAGACAAATGTTAGCTCCAAAGGGAGAGAAGACAAAACAGTGTAACGAGATAAAATACCCTGCTCTCAGCAGGTGATCAAGCTTGCATTCTTATTCTTCTTCCTGTTCATTGACTAGTTCTGAGATAGAACTAAAGGGTTTTTAAAAATAACTACATTGATATAGAGAGAACTTACCATCGTATTGTTTAAATCCATCTTCAACCTGTATCTCATCTTGGGGCTGAAACAGAACAAAAACTGTCTGCAGAGCTATTCACAGATTTCCTAAGGCTAATTTTAAGAAGAGCAAGATGGATAAAACCATTTTTATACTGATTCCCCTAGTAATTCAACACTCATATTAAAAGATAGCTGGACTTTCAATAACGTACAGAATACAGGGTCACAAGGCAACGATAAGTGACTTAACCCTTTATCTCATCACTAACAAATGCACACCTATTCTACTTTCAAAACAATAGAGTCATGCCAACTGTATATTAGGATCTTATCCAGTAACTACAGAAAACCTTTATGTCCCAACCCTCCAGAAGTAAACCGGTATATGACAAAAACACATTAAAGGGAAGACCAATACTTAAGACTTAACAGAAAAACATTAAACTCCATGTAATGTAATTCATAAAATGTGAAAAACAAGAGATGTAAGATGTCAGAGTTTCACTAATTGTGATTCTGGAATTCAGCGTAGTGATATGATGAAAAAGGATAGGAGAAACGTATGAAAAGACTGAGACAATTTGCAAAGATGGACAAAAACTTAGGTTGAAGATATTCATTTAGAGGCAAATTATAGCTCGCTATGCATCTAAAAAAGCATCCTAACATCCAAGAGGGTTTAGTACAAAGCAAGCAAAAGAAGGGGTTTCTCACTGTACCATCTGGCCATTTTCTCTGTCTCTTGTCTTTTATTCTAAGCTAAGCAAACCAATATGCATTTGAAAACAATTATGAGCAAGCAATCAGAATCCTTAATCTCTTGCTGTTAAAAACGGAATGTATTGCCTCTGTATTGGTTTATTCGGTAGATACTCCAAAAGGGGCAGGAAAAATTCTGACTTGAGTTATCCTGAGGAGTTATCCAAGCTCAGATCTGTCTGTTGCAAATGTCATGGCAGTTCCCATCAATTACATGGGCAGATTGTACAGAGATCATCACAAAGAATATGCTCACAGGATAACCATCAGGCCATTTCCAAAGATATCCTTTATCCACATATTCCAGTCAGGAAGAGGAAATTCTATAATGGCTTTTGGGTGCCTGACAAAACCAAACCGGGTGGAAAAGCAAACAAACTAATTTTCCGGACCCACCTTAAAAAAGTCATCTTGATGGACCACGCTGCAGTTGGGCAGCGATTGCGTGAGTTTGTTAGTCAAGGTGGTCTTCCCACCATTCGTGATCCTATAATGGGAATTTCAGAAGATGGGTTATCAGCAAACGCAGGGAATCAAAAAACATTTGTAGATTATAGAAACTCCACTCGGGGTGGAGAAGTTGGAAGACGGGTGGAAATGAAGATGGGTGGCCCATCCAACTTCCAGTATTGAACGCAGACCAGAATCAGGTCTCCCCACTCCTGATTCACCCCCCTAACCAGGCTCTCTCATACCATCTCTCTAATCCTTTTCCTTGGGGAGGAAGATCAAAATAAGCCAAAGAATAAAGTCTGGCTGCACACCTTGCTTTCTTCAAAATGTCTGGAATGGTACAGGGTCTCCTGCTTGAGCAAGGGGGTTGGACTAGAACAGTGGCCACCAACCAGCGGGCTGGGGACCACTGGTGGTCTGCAAGAAAATGTTGGTGGCCCGCAGAGAAATGTCACCCCCAAAGCTATTAATCCAGGCTGTGTGGGAACACAAGGCTTGCGTCACTTGCACTGTGAATAACAGGAGGTAGTGAGGTGAGGGGGGAAAGGGCGGAGGGGGGGGGGGACTTGCCCCACGCGCCTTGCCTGGCCAACAGGCTTCCGCTTCTTCTGCTTTTGGCTGCACACAAGAAAAGCAGCAAAAGTCTTTCTTTCTCTCCCCCAAACTCTGCCAGAAATGAGTCTTTGGGACCCTGCAAGGCCTCCTGCTCCAAGAGGCTGTGACTGCACAACAAGTCTCACAAAGACTCATTTCTGGAGGAGTTTGGGGCAGAGAAAGAAAGATTTCTGCTACTTCTGCTGCTTCCCTTGCATGAAGCCAACAGTCTCTCTCCACCCCGCCCCCCCGTCCCCCCAAGAATGCTGGCGAAGGTATCCTGCGATCCCAAATAAAGAATGATCAATAGGTAGGAAAATGGGGTGGGGAATTTTCCTGCAGACTTTTTTGGGGGATTTCCCCAGGGTCTCTGGTCCGCAGGATTTATATTTTTTTGTTTGGTGGTCCCTGAGGTCCAAAAGGTTGGCGACTCCTGGCCTAGAAGATCTCCAAGGTCCCTTCCAACGTTAAAACAGCCAAACCCACCAGCCATTCGGTCTCAAAATCCAACACGAAAGTGGTTGCAACATCTTATTATCGATTGCATTTGAGATCATCCCTGGAAAAGGGGGGCGGGGATTCCCCCCCTTGAGAATGAATGCATTTTAAGCCCCCCTCCCTTGAGAGTCAATGCACTTTTTTAAAAAAAAACCTCCCCCAACTTGAGAGTTAATACAATTATTAAAATAAAAATAAAGCAACAATGCACATTGGAGACGGGGGGGGGGGGAGATGACAACCAAAGACACCCAGGAATATCACGGCGCCTGCCCGGGAAAAAGCAGCAGCTGCGGCGCCAACAGCTGCAGGGCAGAACGGGAGCCGCGCACGTGGAACCCCTCCCCACTGCGCAGGCGCGAGAGCCCCTCGAGCCCAAGCCCCCCCTCCCCTTCGTCCTTCTCCTCACCCGCCGATGCCGAGGATGACTTTCATGGTGTCGCGAGTGCGCTGGCCTCACGGAGGGTTCCGCGGGAGAGCCCGGCGATGGAAGAGGAGGAGGAGGAGAAGGAAGAACCGGGATGGGGGAAAGAAAAAAAAAAAAGAGAGCCACGTGCGTCAACTGCCGAGGGGAGCCATAGCGGCGGAGGGACTGGAAGCCGATCGCGCTCCCGCCAAGCCCTCAAGACGAAAGAAGGCGCTGCGATCGCCGTGCGGACCGTTCCCACCCCCATCGCCCGCCTTCTGACGCGCTGGGGCGCCCTCTCATTGGCGGGCCTCAAAGCGCCGGATTTTTTTTTTTCTTTCTTTCTGTCAAAGTCCTGGCATCCAATAAAAGACTGGAAACGAGGCAAGGCTCGCTCCGATTGGTCGGTTGGGCTGTTGGGCCGGTCTCTCTCTCTCTCTCTCTCTCTCTCTCTCTCTCTCTCGTGTGTGGGGTGGTCGTCTGTGTTCGGTCTTTTTTAAATAAGAATTTTGAGAGAATTCCCTATAAAAATACAAAAACCCAACTCTGAAGCACTAGTTATCGCCCCGTCGAAGGCATTATTGCATATTTCTTTGAGGGAAAAGCCTCTAGGTTCATGTATCACACTTATCCACATTGCTGGACCCATTTCCACAACCTACTGGCCATAAAACGTAGTAGTTAACTGCCATAATGTTTTGTGTGTGTATGTATGTATGTATGTATATACTGTGTGTAAATACATACATACATACATATAATTATACATACATACATGCATGCATGTATGTATGTATGTATGTATGTATATATGTATTAATTATATGAAGAAACGGATTTGGGCCTAATGTAGGAATGCCAGAACTGGGCTGCCATACTTCCAGCTGCCACTAAGTGGGATCAAAGATACAGGGATTTTTAATGCCTTGCTGCCATCTATTGGACACTGGACATAATTTGGCCAGGATTGTCTCTAGTTGCTTGTTTTGAGTTCTTGAATCTTCAACATGGTCTCCCATGTCTTAATGATTGAGTTTTCCAAACATCAGCATCTTCTCCAATTCTTGTGTTTGCATTATGTGTCCAAAATCCTGGCTTTAGCATTGTTACTTGTGCTTCCTCTGGACAGTCTGGGTTTACTTTATTAAGCAGTTCAGTATGTGTCCATGAACCAGGCCAAAGACTGGTGTGCAAAATAAGCACATAAAAGTTTATCAAGGCCAATTGTCTTCTGAATTTGTCCTGTGTCTTCTCCAGAACTCTATAGTACTTATTAAACTTTGTAAACTACAAATGTGATTGAATAAACATGAACCAAAACATACCTGCAATAACTTGGATATTAAGGTATTTATCAGTCTACTAGGTTTTTATGGATCAGAGTCAATTTACAATACAACCTCCTTTGGTATTCTTGCTGCTATCAATTAACAAAACACTTGGAAATTAAAGTAGCTCAATCCAAATTAGTTTGCGATTTATATTAGATGAATTTATCGATTCCTCCTTCATGGAAAAGACATCTTTTAAATGAGTCTTCTGACCAAGGTTATGGTTATGATACTGATACTAAAGAGGCAGCAGCAAATAACCTGAAGAGACAAAGAAGAAAAATACTATTTATGAAAGACAGATTTAATAAACAGTATCCTGCAATGTATATCAGGCCTGCATAGATGATTAGTACGTAATTCAGTGATTGGAACATCTTGATCTGCTGAGTTCTGACTTGAAGGTAACTATTAAAAGCAAAAGGAAATTCATACAGTGTTCCTTAATCAGTCTTTAGAGTAGAAAATATTTCTGTGTTTATGTATTTTCAAAACTGATGATAGGTAGGTGGTATTCTGAATTCACCAGAAACAGTGATGTTTCAACAGTGATGATACAAGGTTAGGCATAATCAGCTGTGAAAACGGTTCCACCCGGAGAGCAATTGTTCAAGGGAAGATGTAACAGTGATAATTGGATAATTTGGGGCTTGTATAAGAGCAGGGATTGCTTGGTAGCCTTTGTTTTAAGAAAATTAATGTTTAGAGAAGTGGTACACTTCAAGTGTTGTGAGTTCTTAATCTCCCATTGTGTGTGTTGCAATATATGTTATTGTATTATATAAAATAGAGGTAATAATAGACTCTGGATATAAAATGTGGATGTGTCTTTGGGATTAATAACACAAAAACAGCTTTTTAAAGAAAGTTGCAACTTTGTTTTTTATATTATGCTTAACTGTTACAACTGTGGCTTAGTATAATTTGGTTGAAAAGACTTGTATTATTGTTTTGAAATAATTAGTTACTAGAATCAAGTTTGAACCTTATCCAAGACAGGCTTTAATAGCTACATGTTTGTTATACAATCAGCATAAGAGAACTTATATCTGTGTTGAATAACCATGTAAATAATAGTTTAATAAGTATTTTAACCATAGAATATTGTAAGTTACTATGAAGCCTGACTACCTTTATAGTACTCTGAGGTATAGTTTGCTTTATTATGTTTGAGTTAATAAATAATAGGCTAGTTCATCTGCTTAATCACAATTTGTGGTTTATCTACAAAGGTTGACTTTATTAGTAGTCTAAGCCACAAACTATATTAATACATGTTGCAGGAATTAGTACAGTCACTAGCTTTGGTATGAATCTGTAGAAGTAATCTATTTTTGCTATCAGTAGATAGTAAATGGTGATTACATGATCACAAATGAAATTTAAAAATATTCAAGTTTTGCTTTGTGTCTTCAGAAAGCAAGTTTTATCCTACTTTCATATACCTGCATATAGCTGATACTGATATTTATATATTTTTTTTTACATGTGATATGTAAAACAAACTTTTCTTAAATATTGTAACTGTTGCAGCTGTGTTTTTCATTTGTTCAGGCATACAGGTAGGAAAAAAGAATTAAATAGCATATTATTTCAGGCAAAATTGAGTATGATGGGGTAGGATAAGTAATGTTCAATCATTCTATAATAAAATAATTTATTGCAAAAAATATCAATAGCATGTTCCCTAACTATGACAATTGCTTTAATTTTTTATTTTAGAAGCTATTATTGTGTGCTATAATGACAGAGTTCCTGGTCTGTTTTAACTGTTGCATTGGAGATCAGCCTCAAACAGTGAGTTTGTTTTACTTAAAAATATACATGCTGTATTTCAGAGAGCAATCCAAGGCAGCATACTCAAATCATCATACATGGTACAGATTTCAATAAAAATGCAATTTAATTTTGAAATATCTTAAAACTTAACTAGAAGACTGACTAGTTAAGCTCCAGCCATTTTATATTGGTATTAAATTCGATGCTATTTTATGGCAGACTTTATAACACAGAGCTTGGCTATAGAGAGGGGGGGGATCAAAATATTGAATAGGAAATTTGAAATAAAATACTACTATAAAAATCAGAGACCTGGTATATTTTCCCTCTCTAGTCAGACATCACTGGCTTTTGTAGTCATTGTTACGAGGAACCTAAACTTTTCCCCTTGTTATCAGGAAAAAAATTATAAGCTTAACTCTGGAAAGGGCAGGACAACATTGTATTAAATATGTTGTCCAGCTAGTCATAAGTCATTGCTGAAGTAAGTATGGGCGACTAATTGTAACAGAATAATTATGTCTTAAATTATAAAATATGTAGCAAAGATTGACGTAATGTTTCTCTGTTCTCTAAAGAAGAGACTCGACCGAAAAATGATAGGAGAGCCAATGAACTTTGTTCACATCACTCATTTTGGAACAAAAGAGATGACCAACAACCCTCCATCAGTAAGTATGTTGGGGAGAGAAGCAACAAAGTGCTATATTTGGATTCTTTATCGATGTTTAGGTATGACTTACAAGATATAATAAACCTATGTAAGTTACTTTATTACAGCTTCAGTATATTACTTATATCCAAAATTAGATTGGACCACATAAAAGAACACTGAATATATGAAAGTAGAATAAGTGACTAATATTGGGGGTAAGGGGATGGGAAGAAAGACCGTTTTTTTCTTACACTAACATCTCTAAATATTTGTGTGATGCATCCATGTTTCCAAAAAATTCACTTCGCTTAAAGGTATGTGACTTCCCTTGCACAGTTACCCTTTCAATACATTCCTGCTAATAATTTTCTGGGTAAACATGCATTAAAGGAAATGTGTGGTTGTCATAAACCATTATTTATGACTAAAATGTGTAATGAAACTTATATCTGAGATTTTAGAGTTGGAGAAAATTAAGTAAATCTTAATATTAGACCCATTACTAATTACAAAAAACATGGTGAAAATATTTTAAGGTGCAAATTATGCCTTATAATGTTAATAGCACTAATAATTAGTTAATAGCACTAATCAGCCTTTCATAATTTTATGCTTTTTCCAGGTAGGGCATATTCAGGAACGGATGAATTCCAAAGGAGGCTACAGCAACAATTCAGTGAATATTAGGGGTCCAAGTAATTAACTAATCTCTTTAGATAGAAAGCTTTATATGTAAGTTTATTCATTACTATTTGTACGTGGGTTGTAAACTGCTAAAATAACACAATTTTATTTTGTTACAGTCTGTACATACTGGGGATCTGATTACAAAACTGTAAAGCTGTGTTAATGTTAATAGACAGCGCCATGTTTGAAATCTGTGCTAAATATAGTATTTAAACTACTACATGTACTGTAACTACAGTTTTAATTCATGGCTCTTTCCTAACTATAAATCTTGGGGTTTTAAATTCTGTGAGGATGATGAAGAAGCAAGGTTAATATTCTGTTCAGTTCTGATTTCTATAAAACTAACTCCTAAAGAGAATTCTACCTATCTTGGGAAAATGGTCTTCAGTCTGATTTTAGGTAAGAATTATTTAACCTGGTATAATTTTTCTGGGGAAAAAATGCTCAAGAAGACATTTAAGTAGTTTAAAGCTTGTTTTTGACTTTAAAATTAAATAGCTTTTTGCTGACCCTCAACAAAAATGAGAATAAAAGGTTTGTTCTGTTAATGTATTTTTTGGGCTATGAGAGGGAGCCCATGCTATGCCTTAAGCTCTACTTCCTTATGACAAAAACTGAATATCTGAAACAGGTTTCGCATCACGGCCATACTAGATGACCTGAAAAGCTTTGTGAATGTGTTGTCAGATAAAAGGATTAGGTGAAGAATAATAATGTTATTCGACTGTGGGATGGAATTCTTGCTACTACTGGGAACTGCAGAATATGTAAGGTGTGATGAAAATCTTAACAGTGGTTGCATCTGTTCTAAAATTCAAGACTTGTTTTATATACACAGTGTTGCTTAGCTGTATTTTCTCTTCTACTATTGGAAGATGGATGCACACTCGGAATTTACTGAGTTCTGACCCAAATGAATCCAGAAACATTTATCTGAATCAAATTCAATCAATTTCTTGTAGTATTAATTCTTACCTGAAACTGTAGTATAGTATCTATGAACTATAATTTAAATTGTAGTGGTCAAATTTTAGTTCATGAGACAAAAGGTATTTGTAGAACAGAACTGAAGTATTCTTCTGATGTGCCCAAATATGTATATGTTATCTCAACTCCATTTCAGCTGCATGAAGTGAAAGCAGAAGGCTGAAGTCCTAGATTTAATGGACCCTTTATTATTGGAAAATAAATTTGCTTTAAATAGATCATGGTCACTCATTTTACTGTAGAGCGCTTCAAGTTTTAAAATTGGCATTTTTAACCAGTAGACCTGTGTTCAGTTTTAAGTAACTTGCTCTTAGTAAAATGTTTGTGTGAATATTATTCAGAATAGCATTTCTTCTGCAGAAGGCGTCTGTACTCTTATAAAAAAGGATCAAGTATTTGACAATTCTTGTTATGTTCATTCTTGTCCTTGGCTGTTAATATGTCAAACTATTGAGTGCAAAACTATTGAGTCTTAAGGATCGCATTACTGATTGGAAGGTGCTTGAAGCAGTGAATGTAATACAAACGGAATTAAATAATATAGATCAGGTGCTAGAGATGAATTAAACACTTTTGAAAATTCAGTTTGGCCTTGAATTTTAAAAGGCTGCTTTAAAGTGAGCCGCAGTGCAAGTGCTGTTCCTTTGTTATTTACAGTAATGTCTCAATATTGTTTCCTATAAAGGATTCAATGTGGTTGACTGCATTGCAAAACGTGGCTGAAACTGGCAGAGTGCTCTCTTTAGGGGAGAGAATAGGACAAAACGACAGCATGGTAAATACTACGCGGGGAGAGCCAATTAGGTTTTATTAGAATACACCAAAACTCATTAACTTTCTTAGACACAAATTAAGCACCAGCTGTTTAAGTAGTTCAAAAGTTGCTCCATGTAGCTTCATCGTTTAACCTGCACTTGTTAATGCTCTCTAACTATCACAAGCCGCATTGATTCCACTTGTGACTGAATGTTACCTAACCCATCTGAACGGCTGCCTTAAATGTCATAATTTAGTCTACATTTCAGGAGCAGGCTAGTCATGTGCTCACTTCCTACAGCTGACAATTTCTCTCCTACCAAAAATAAATCGGCTTGCGATTCCTCCCTGTAGCGGTCGGGGCCTTGCTGGGCAGCGAGTCAGGCCTTGAACAAAAGGGGAGCTGTTGTGATTGCCTGCAAGAGCGGGCAGCGAATTCAACAACCTCCCAGTGTGTCAACAAGCCAAAATAGCAGGCAGCCAAGCCAGCAGCCCTTCAAGGTTCAGAAGGCAGAGATTTTAATGGCAGCCACAGGCCGGCTTTGCCATGGCTGGCAAGCGGGGGGAGGGGAGAAGGCAAATGAAACCATCTCTGTAGGGAGAATTAATTAATATCCTAGGCTGGGAATGTCTTGAGTAACCAACAGTCCGTTTAGTGACTGCTCAAAGTTACAACGGCACTGAAAGCGACCTGTGACCATTTTTCACACTTGCGATCTTTTAGGCATCCCCCAATGGTCACGTGATTTAGATTCAGATGCTTGACAACTGGTTTATGACCTTTGCAGTTTGGGGGGTGGGGGTCACGTGATCCCCTTTTGCAACTTTATGACAAGCAAAGTCCACCTGTCCATCATCCATCCACCCAATCTCTCACAGGGCAGGAAGCCAGGCAAGCGATTCGCTTAACAAACGTGGCAAGAAAAATATATATCATAAAACGGGGGCAAAACTCACTTAACAACTGTCTCGCATAGCGGCGTACACGTTGGGCTCCATTGTGGTTGTAAGTCAAGAACTACCAGTTGTGTAGCATCCCTTAGGATTCCCCCAGATCTGATCTAAGGGATCCTTCGTCAGCCTGGCGGTGGTGAGATTGGATGAAGGATGGAGGGAGAAGGAGGCTTCCTGCTGGTGCCCAGGACCGCCGCTCGGGGAGGGTAGGAAGCCCCGGGAACCGAGGCGAGCGTTTGGCCCGGGGCGGGGTGGGAGAGCGCCCTTCGCCTTCGCCGCCTCTCCCTCCTCCTCCTCCTCCTCCTCCTCTTCCCCTCCTCCGGCCCGGCTTTTCCGCCGGCGTCTGTGCCGCCTCTACCCCGGAGGAAAGCCCGCCCAGAAGAGGAGGCGAACTCCTGGCCGTGCCGAGCGCCGGCAGCTACCCCGGAAAGGAGACGCGCTCGGTGGCGGCAGCGGAACCGGCGGGGGTGGAAAACGGTTGGCTGCGGGCCGGCTGGCCCTAGAGCCTCCGCGGGGGCGGCTTGGAAGCCAGGCGCGGGGCATGGGGTCCGCCTGGCTGCCGCTGCTGCTGCGGGCCGCGCTCGGGGCCCTCCCCCCGCGGCGGGGGGGGGGCCGGGGGGGGGGGGGGGGGGGGGGGGGGGGGGGGGGGGGGCCCCCCCGCGGGGGGGGGGGGGAGGCAGGGAGGGCGCGATTTCGGGCTGGGCGCCCGCCGATCTCCCCCTCCAGCCAACCCGCTCGGGGCTTTCCAAGCGGTGGAAGCGAAACCTCGGCGGGCGCCTCGAGTCTCTCTCTCTCTCTCTCTCTCTCTCTGCACGGCCCAATGAGTCGGTTGGGCGCTCTCCCCCCAAGCCCCTTAGCCTGGGACTCCCCCGCCCTTAGCCTCTGAGCATAGGAAGAGGGCAAAGGGGCAGCAGCAGAGCGCTCCCTCCTCCTCCTCCTCCTCCTCCTCGGTGCCCCCCCACTCCCTGAGACCGGCGGGGGGGGGGGGGGCTTCGATGGTGCCACCCTCCCCCACTTAGTGAGAACGTGGGAAGGGGCTTCCCGTGCATCCCCCATCTCTGAAACCCCGTAAAACCCCAGCCAGGTAGGGCTGCTCCGGGTCGGGTGGGTGGGTTTGCGCACGCGCGCCGCTCTCTGCCTTGGCACCCGGGCTTGCTTGCCGGAGGAATGGACGGCGGTGCTTTCTAAGCAGGGGTGACTTCCCCAAACCTGGGCAACTTTTAAGACTTGGGGAGAATTCTGGGAGTTGAAGTCCCCGAGTCTTAACGTTGCCCAAGTTTGGAGACCTCTGTATTTTAAGTGTATGGGCAAGGAGAGAGAGGCAGGTCCCGGAAGTTTTTTTTAAAACAGCTGTTGGTTGCTGCTGGACTTCGACTTTGCTCCTGCTTGCTTCGCTGGAACCTGCCTCCTCAACCTGCTGCTTGCGTAGTAGGCCATTGTTTACCTTCCCAGTTGCTGGCACGTTGGGGAACTGGGTCCCAGTGTCCCTGGCCATCCTCCCTGCCTGCCCCCTCCGTGGCCAGGTAGCCCTCGACTTACAACACTAGGTTGTCCTGGGACCTAGTGGACAACCATTTAAGTATGAGCCAGCCGTGTGCAGCAGTGGCCAAAAAAGCCAACACAGACTAATAGAATCAAGATCACATGAAGTGTTAATACCACTTTATAATGCCTTGGTAAGGCCACACTTGGAATACTGCCTCCAGTTTTGGTCGACACGATGTAAAAAAGAGGTTGAGACTCTGGAAAGAGTGCAGAGAAGAGCAACCAAGATGATGAGGGGACTGGAGGCTAAAACATACGAAGAAGAACGGTTGCTATAGTATAGTGGGTATGTCTATATTCTGACGAAAAGAAGAACGGGGTTGACATGATAAGAGTCTTCCAGTATCTCAGGGGCTGCCCCAAAAGAAAAGGGGGTCAAGCTATTCTCCAAAGCACCTGAGGGCAGGACAAGAAGCAACAGATAGAAAATAATCAAGGAGAGAAGCAACCTAGAACTAAGAAGAAATTTCCTGACAGGACAATTAATCAGTGGAACAACTTGCCTCCAGAGGTTGTGGGTGATCTTTAAGAAGTTGTCGGAAATGGTGTAAGGTTTCCTGCCTAGGCAGGGGGTTGGACTAGAAGACTCCCAGGCCCCTTCCAACTCTGTTATTCAATTCTAGTTCCTTTAGTGACCGTTTTGAAGTTATAACAGCCTTGAAAAAAAAGTGACTCAGGACCATTTTCCATGCTTATGACGACCGTTGGCGGCATTCCCCGGCTCACGTGATTTTAAAATTTGGACGCTTGACCACTGGTTCATGTTGACGACAGTTGCAATGTCTTGGGGTGGTGGTCACTAGCTCTCCTTTTGCAACCTTCTGACAAGCAAAGTCCAGAATGGGGAAACCAGATTCACTTAACAATAACTGTGTTTTACTAAGTTACAAGTGCAGTGATTCACTTAACAACAGGTGCAAGAACAATCGTAAAACAGGACCCGCTCATGTTTCACTTAGCAAGATAAATTTTGGGCTCAATTACGGTCGTAACCCAAGGACCACCTGTGTCGTCTGAGAAGCAGACCGCATGGAGGCAATCTTGGGAGTGCAGTTGTTGGGGCCTGTGATAGTGTTGTTGGTGTAGATGTGGGGGTCAAAGTAGATCTCTGCCTTTGCTGTGGGTTCTCCAGGTGGGCATTCTTGTTCCTGTTGTTCCCTTGTGGCTTATGAAAGTAGAATACAATCAAGTAGAATTTTTTATTGGCCAAGTGTGATCAGACACACAAGGAATTTGTCTTCGGTGCCTAAGCTCTCAGTGTACATAATTTTTTTTGATTGCTTATTTGTACCCTATGACTATCATTAAGTGTTGTACCTGATGATTCTTGACTCTTGACGAATGTATCTTTTCTTTTATGTACACTGAGAGCACATGCACCAAGACAAATTCCTTCTGAGTCCAATCACACATGGCCAATAAAGTATTCTATTCTGTTCTGTTCTGTTCTGTTCTGTTCTGTTCTATTCTATTCTACAAAAGCTATAAATGATAAATCATGATCATGCTCATCATAAAAATACATTCACCATAAATCATAAGATACAACACTTAAGTGATAGTCATAGGATACTGAATAAGCAATCAACATAAATCATACTAGGAAACTAAAAAATCTGCTTCAGGTTCAAGGATTTTCCGTAAGTAGTTGTGGATGCCTGAGAAAGTGTAACATAGATTGTCTAGTGTGGGCTGTAGCTTTGTTTGAGTGACCTGAGCTGTGAGCTCTGGGTGACAACTGATGGTAGCTTCTGTTGTTGTGATCTGTCTTTTAATAGATCTGCCTTTGAAACCGATCGGATTTTGTTCATTTATCGGTTAGCTTTGTTGGTGACTATTTTGGTCTTCCGAATGCCTGGCTTAATTCCATCAATGGAGCTAGTAGTCTAGTAGTAGAGGCACCAGGCTAGAAAATAGGAAACCATGAGCCAGCTGGGTGACTGTGGACCAGTCACTCACTCTCTCAGCCCAACTTACTTCACAGGGTTGTTATGGAGAAAACAGGAGGAGGAAAGTGTGTTGGATATGTTTTTGCCACCTTGAGTTATTCGTAAAAATAATAAAGCTGGGATACAATAAACAGAAATAAATAAATGAATTAGAACAAATGCAGTTGTAGCTAGCGTAGATTGGTGATATTTTTTTAGGTAGCATGAAACTTAATAATTGTCAGTTTTTCAGTTTCTATTCACAACACACCTAATCTTTGCAGTTCCTGTTTTTTGTTTTTTGTTTTAAAGCAAAATCGACAGACACAGATTTGCCATCCTGCTCAAAAACACTTTTCTAGCAGATTAATAGCTGCTTACCCAATACCACAGTGATGAGTAAATGTCTAGTCCTTAAACAACACACAATCGGGACAGGACAACAAAATTCACACAGTTTAATCAATCAGCTTTGATGCCAGGAAAAAAGGGAATTAGGACATGGAGTGTCGCAAAACTCCAGCCGTCATTTCATAAGGGAAGGCATTAAGTTTTTGTGAATTGCTTGAATATCTTTTCCCTTAATGTAATGTTTAAACCAGGGGTGTCCAACCTTGGCTGAGGAATTCTGGGAGTTGAAGTCCACAAGTCTTAAAGTTGCTAAGGTTGGACACCCCTGGTTTAAACTAATGTATAAGAATTGCATTTTAATAGGTTACAGCTTTGGGTTAACCTAGTCTGGACTCAGAAACTAATATGCTTGGGTTAATAAGGTAAGAGTAAGATATCAGCGCTACAGCCTAGAAATCCAGAACACAGAAGCAAACAATTTTTGTGACTGTTTCCATGAGATCATCATAAGTAAAGCTCAGTTTCCAGGATGGACAGAAAAAAACATTGTGGTTAAAAATCCCTCCTGAGTCACTTTCTGGGATTCTGATGATTCAGCCAATCAGCATCTAACGTCTCCTTTAAAGAGTGTTTTTGATTACATATTTCCAAGGGTGTGAACAACAGGAACAGAAGAACAAAACAGATACTACATTATTGGTAAGCAGTGATGTTTACCAAACAGCAACAAAACGTCAGAATCAGTTAATTCTAAATTCTTCTAGAGGAAGAATGATCCCATTTAAAATTAAATGAAATCCCCTACCATCTATGAAATGCTTTTGCTTAATCTAAAATTAGTTAGGGGAACCACATCATGTGAACATTTCCAGCAGTTCAACCTACAATCTTGCTGAGTTGTGGAATGAAAATGTTTGAAAAACTGTCATTTTGGCTGAGAAAGGGTTGGAAGAAACTCAAAAGCTTAAAAAACTGTTGCAAAGTTTTGGTTGGTTTAACAAAGAACGATTTCTATGGAACTTTGATTTTTTTTAAAAAAGAAAGTTGAGTCAAATAATTGAGTTCATTGCATAAACAGTTTTGAAACTGGGGGAGGTCTTACTGAAGTCAGCTTTCTTAGTTCAAACTTTAAACAATGTTCAATTTTTAAAACTCTGTGAATGTATATATGGCCTCGTGTGATTCTTGTTACTTCCTAACAATTAAAAAAAGAATACTTTTTAAATATTTTTTCTTCTTCTAATAATAGATAAGTGCCCAAGGAGGAGTTTTGCATGCAGTTCAAATTGACAGTCCCTACTTATCGAAGGATTATTGCATCTTTTACAATTCTACCTGGACTTCCCTTCCTGATGTCTTATCTAGCATTGTAAGTATTTATTCGTTGTTAAGAACTGAATGGATTTCAGTAGGGGACCTTTGACAAATTTCACACCTTGTGCTGAGCTATTTTTCTTTAACTCATTGTCACAGGGTCAATGCATAATACTAAGCCACAATGGCAGGATTCCCACATTATATATCTGTTTATTTTATTAAACATATTTATATAGCTGTCCAACTCACATCTTGATGATTCCGGGCAGTTTTATAAAGTTTTTAAAAACCTATAATAAAGAAAAACATTTTAAAAAATACACCTCCCACCCTCCATGGCAGCAGCTACACAATGAAACCAGCCATTTGGTCATCAGTGTCTCTATTTGTAGTCCCAGGTCTCTGATAAAACCACATTTTTAGGGCCTTTCAGGCAAAACAACTGGATAGGGTCCAACCATACCTTGAGGGAAGGATAAAGAAGGGGCCGCCATTGAGAAGGCCCTTTTTTGTGGTTGAACCAGAAATACATCCCTAATTGATGGAACTGTCTGCCTATCCTTGTGGGTTGGGCGACTGTAATAGAGGAGAAGCAGTCCTTCACATGGACTGGTCCCAAGCCCTGTAGGGGTTTAAAGGTGATAACCAGGACCTTGAATTATGATAAGCAATACGCCATCAAATCAGTTAGTATAGTGTGAGAACATAGTGAGAAGCATTTGGCATCCCTACGGGAGATGTCATTGGTCAAGCTATAGCGTGGTATAATACAATTGTAAGGAAACAACGCAGCTAAGTCTGGATTCATACATGTAGTAGAAGGACTTGGGAGTGAACTGTTTGAAAATGATAAGGTTGGGCTGGGTGGAGGAATGCTGGGAATCGGGTGGGATGCAAATATTTTTACTACCAGTTCTGTGGGCGTGGCTAGGTGGGCGTTGCTTCTTCTTTCATTTTTTTGCAGCACCCCCTTCCCCGCGCTCTGTTTCTTTGCCTCCTGGGCTTCAGGGAATCTTCCTGGGCAAAGCAGTAAGACAGTGAAAGGAATCCTGGCACAGCTGACTGTCGGAACAGCTGATCGTTGGGAGGAAAAAAAAATACCACTTCAAGTGAACCGGTAGCTGGTTTTTTTACTACTGCTTCAGGCAAACAGTAGCATTTTTTACTACCGGTTCATGCGAACCGGGCCGAACTGGTAGAATACCACCACTGCTGGGAATATCATCCTTGTTAAGTTTCTGTAAGCAGAAAGCTAGCACGGTAAAAAAAAATGTTGGATTTCATATTTGTTTGGCAGAAAGATTTCAGATTCAAAGGCAGAAAGTTGGTTCAGGAAACGGGCGCACCGATAGGACCTTTCTGCGGCTCCTTAAAGCAGCTGCGTTTTTCCCCAGAAACAGTTGCTGACATGAGAGGCAGCTTTAGCGACCCCGTGCGCTTTAAGGAATTGCAAACTGGGCTTCAGGAGCAGCTGTTGGCCTCTAACAGAAAGAATGAGACCTTTGAAAATAGCATGTCCTCCTTGCAGTCTCACAAAACGCATTTACTACTCTCTGTTAAGGATTTTAATGCTGGTTCCTGTAAATAGGAAGTGACAAGAAAAGTTTTTTTAAAAACCCTGTTCCAATTACATTGTGGAAGTCTCTTGCATGTTTTGCTCTTTAATTTTTAGCTTCATTTTTTAAATGACTTATTTTTATGTTCTTTTAGGACTATGCAAAACTGGAGTTTTTGACCTCTACATTGCTCTGCAGCCCATCCGACGTTACCCAAGACATCAAGGACAAAGCAATCGTAGTGAAGAGGGGAAATTGTACTTTTATAGAAAAGGCAGAGATTGCTCAACGGTTCGGTGCTAAATTGTTGCTGGTGGCCAGTGAAACTTCCATAGTAAGGTCTTGTTTTTGACCAATTGATTGCTTTCTGTCGGTCTTTTGGTGTATGGGAACTGATTTGTCTATTTTCCAATTGTTATTAGCAGATCTGTGTGACTTGGATCAACATGTATAGATTATTTTAGTAGGCTGGCCATGGCCCCTGAATCTGTAGTATTCTATATATCTATCTATCTTTTAAGCAGTATGTTGTTTAAACAAATGAGAGAAATTATTTAAACAAACCAGACAAATGATTTTTTTATTAAATAAAATGATCATTTCTTGATTTTCAGCTAATAGGGATCCCTTGAATCACTGTAGATTAAAAACCAGTAATTGCAGGCAGGGGTGGGATTCAAAAACCCTAACAACCAGTTTGCTGCCCGGTTGCTGGGTGGATCTGGTCATGGTGGGCATGGCCTACTGGAACTTCCTGTTTCCGGCTTCTGGTGGGCCTCCAGAGCCCGGGGGAGGCCATTTTTGCCCTTCCAAAGGTCGTACCCTGGGCCTCTGGGAGGGCAAAAGCAGCTTCCTCTGGGCTCTGGGGGCCCACCGGAAGCCAGAAACAGACTTGTTTCCGGACTTCTGGTACTTCTGGGCCATTTTTCCCCTTCCCAAGGGTCTGGAGGCCTCTGGGAAGGGGAAAACAACCTTCCCCAGGCTCTGGAGGCCCTCCGGAAGCCGGAAACAGGCCTGTTTTTGGACTTCTGGAAGGCCCGTTTTTCCTCCTCCCAGAGCCTCTGCGCAGACCCTGCACTTACCTCCAATGAAAATGGGCCGCGTGGAGGGGAGGGGTAGGCGGGGCCAGCTGGTCGGTTTAAATACTGATTCGGCGAACCAGATGTAACTTTAACATCCGGTTCACCCGAACCGGTCCGAACCGGTAGAATCCCACCCCTGATTGCCCGTAATCCTCAACCATTTGTTTAGCAGTTTAGTTTTCCATTTGTCCAGTTAGGTTCAACTTAAGCCCCAGAGCTGGTGAAGGCGAAGGATGAAGGCCAATGCATGCGAAAGGGAGATATATGAAAAGCAAAAATGTCTACATAATGGATAGCGGTGGAATTGGGGGGCTCTGTTAATAATTACCCAGGAAAGATGGGAGGAATTGGGAGCCCCTTTCTTGAGAAATGTCTGTGATTTAATCAAGTCTTGAATCAGGGAAGCAGACACAAACCTACCGTATTTCCATTTTTCTAGCGTTCTCCGGGAGGGAACAAGACCCAGAATCTCACAATTCCTATTGCGCTCGTTAGAGACGCAGATATAAAGGATTTGGAACAGGTAACATCCTTTTCACAGTGGCTTTTTGGGTGCATGAACGAGAAAAACAAATGGCTTCTTTTGGAAATTAATAGATTTTTGATACACACTGAGGCTTTTCTTCTTGGTCTGCTTCCGTCTTTTAATATTTAGTGACACACACTGCTGGTGCTATCTTTATCTTATTTTGAGTTTCTGATTAATGACTGGGGTTGACGATTAATTAACCTTGTTTTGAGGGGATGTGTTTTGCCAAGAAATCCTTTTTTTTGCTGATTTAGGAAAGTTCAGTATTTTTCATCTCCTGGGTGGGTTCCTTAAAGTGGCACTGAATAAAGCAATAACCTTTCCTTCCTTCCTGAAACAAGCATTACGCAAATCACTTAACTGAGATTTTTGCAGTATTTCTCTATATGACATTCTCAAGCTTCTATTTTATTTGCTTTTTGCCCCTTTTCTCTTCGCTTCTGATCTTAGAGGCCATCTAGACTTAACCCTTGCTGCAGGATCCTCTTGAGCACTGTATTTCAACCTTAGCATTTTTTAAATTTTTGGACTTCAGCATCCAGAAAGGCTGAGAACATCTCACTAAGAACATCCTGATTTGTTTTCTTTGAAGTCTTTCGGCAGAGGAAAATTTACTTCTAAACTTTTCTATGTCTATTATTAAAGAGCCGACACTTTATTTGTAGCTAAGAACCATCTTATATTTTTCCCCTCACTGCTTTTTGCATGACTTCTTTGTAAAGCTTGAAGAGTTAATTTTTTTAAATCATACTTGTCCACTGGTTTCTCTGATTCTAAATGGCCATAAATTGGTGTGCCAACAATGGCAGGGTGGCAATGAATGGGTTATTCCAATGGGAGAACAGTGTCTAATATTCAACCAACATTTCTAACTGATGTGTTTCTAATTTTTAGACTCTTGGAAGAAATGTCAATGTGGGATTATATTCACCCCCTCAACCGATCTTTGATTATAGTCTGGTGATCATTTTCCTAATTGCGATGTTCTGTGTGTCTCTTGGAGGCTACTGGAGTGGCAGGGCAGAGCTGTGAGTTTAATTTTTTTCCTGTAATATGAAAAAAAATTCTAAAGCTGGCTGTTAGCTTAGAGTTACATTCGTTGGGCTTCCTTTCACCATTCAAATTCCTTGCACACTGCTTCCGTTCTTTAAGTAAATGGAACAACAGAAGTATGGGTATCACCCAGAGTGGTTTTATATGAGATGGTGTTGTGGCCTGTCCAGCTGCCAAATCGGAGGAAGAGGAGGCATGCGAGTCAGAGTGGCAACCTGAGAGCTCCGACGGGGGAAGAGGGAATGGAACTGGCAGAGAGAGAGAGAGAGAGGCAGAGCCTGTGCCATCAGTCAGCCCTCATATCCGCAGCCCCCAGTCTGGAGGTGGCTGATAAGGAAGAGGAGAAACAGCTGGGTCCAGTGCATGACGTGTAGCTGCTGCAGAAAGCAGAGGAGAGGAGAGCAGTGGAAATCTATGGGCCGATCCTTGGGAAGGAAGAGCCACTGCTGCTAGCGAGGCCCCACCCTTGCTCTGGGGATAACAGTTAAGGGGGCGGAGATGAATAGATGTGGCAGACATCTCTTCATGTTTCGGCCTCACAGACTTGTTAGCCTGTGAGAGAAACATTTTGCCGGGGCTGCCGGCATTCCTAAAACAGGAATCTTTTGAGTTCACACCAGAGGGTTTGTCGTTTTTAGGGAGCTGGGTTAGAACAGATGGGCAGCAAATAAATGTAATAAATAAACCTGCTATGATAGGTCCAAAAAGCTAGATGTTGGAAGGGGCATTGCAATACGCACATCATCTCTTGAGTATCTGCAATGTACACAATCTGTTCACACACAGCCAAGAAGTAAATATCTCCAAAAGTGTCTTTGAAGAGCAGGGACTGGGAGAGTGCATTTTTTGTCAAGAATTACAGGAGCACCAGGGCAAAGTTGCCCAGATAAAGAAGTCATTCTCTTCTTTTTTATCCACCCAGTGAGAAGCTGAAACGAAGCCCCAGTCCTGGAAGCAATGAGTCATTATCGGATGAAGAAAGTCTTACTTTAACCCCTTTGTCCGCTGTCATATTTGTGTCCTTCTGCTGCATTATGCTGGTCTTGATGTATTTCTTCTACAAATGGCTCGGTAAAATATATATATATATGTGTGTGTGTATATGTATGCATTTATTTAGGGATTGGAAGGGAAAACTTGTTGCTGGGTTGCTAGATCTCTATCTAAGGAGCAGACAGGGCCCTGCCTTACCTGAATGCCTTTGATAATTTAAAATAAATGTTGGAGAAATGAATTTTGGTCTCAGTTACTTCCTGAGACTGTTTGGCATGCCAAAAGTATCATGGACATTCAAAACAGCAAATCTTCCCCATGCAATTTAGGCAGATTGTTCACGACCCCAAAGTGATTTTGCAAGGACTTTTTAGGCAACTTGCACCCTTGTTAGCTGGTAGTTATTACGATTCCCCTATTGTAGGCTGGGTATAAGCCGCGGAGAGAGAAAAACGTGTGGTTTGTCTAAATGTTGTGTCTGAATGTGATACAGGTTATGTCCTCAAGAAAATAGATAAAGGTAGCTTAAAAAGCAGGAAGAATAATAGATACCTCTCCATAGGTAGTTCTTATTTAGTGACTGCCTTGGACATCTGTTCAAAGTTAATGACGGTGATGAAAAATTAACAGTCCTCACATTTATGACCTTCAAAAAAAAGGACAGCTGAAATAATAGTGCTTTTACTTAGTGAGTGTTTTGCTTAATGACTGAATTGCCAGTTCCAGTGGTAGTTGCTAAATGAGGCCTACCTGTATCCATTTTTATATGAATCTCTCTTCCCCATTATTTAAAGATTGATGGTTGGTTGGTTCTAAGTCAGTCTGTTTGTAACCATGTCCTCCTCCGTCTTCTCCCTTCTTGTCTAGTGTATGTGGTCATTACCATATTCTGCATAGCGTCTGTTTCGAGCATGTACTGCTGTCTCTCTGCCCTACTGAAAAAAATACCTTATGGGCAATGCAGGTAAGATGCTCTATTATGACTTTTTAAAAGGAGGTAAAATAATACTAAGCTGGCAGGAATAGCTAACACCCAAGATGGATCTTGACAGACTGGGCCATATCTAATAAAATGAAATTCAATATAGAGAAAAGTAAAGTCCTACACTTAGGCAAGAAAAACCAACAGTACACATATAGACTGGGGGAAACCAGGCTCAATAGCAGTAACTGTGAGAGGGATCTTGGAGTCTTAGTGGACAACCAGCTAAATAGGAGCCAGCAGTGTGCAGCAGGAGTCAAAAAAAGCTAATGCAATCCTAAGTTGCATTAACAGAGGGATACAATTAAGATCAAGTGAGGTACTAATACCACTCTATAAAGCCTTAGTAAGACCACACCTAGAGTACTGCATCCAGTTTTGGTCACCACATTATAAAAAAGATGTTGAGACTCTAGAAAAAGTACAAAGAAGAGCAACCAGGATGATTAGGGGACTTAAGGCCGAAACATACAACGAACGGTTGCAGGAACTGGGCTTGGCTAGTCTAGGGAAGAGAAGGATCAGGGGAGGCAGGATAGAGGTCTTCCAATATTTGAGGGGCTGCCACAGAGAGGAAGGGGTCAAGCTATTTTCTAAAGCGCCTGTAGGCCAGACAAGGAATAATGGATGGAAACTGAACAAAGAAAGATTTAACCTGGAAACAAGGAGAAACTTTCTGACAGTGAGAACAATCAACCAATGGAACAGAAGTTGCCCTCAGAAGTTGTGGGAGCGCCATCACTTGAGAAGAGATTGGACTGCCATTTGTCAGAAAAGGTGTAGGGTCTCCCGCTTGGGCAGGGGGTTGGACTAGATGACCTACAAGGTCCCTTCCAACTCTGATTATCTGTATCTGTATCTAATTTTCCTTTTGCAGATGAAAATTAAGTCACAGTGAAATCTCAAATTGGCCTCCAGTTGATCAGATTTTGGATGCCGCAGATCAATTATTTAGAGATGGATATGGAAAACTTAACCAGCTTTTGGTTTTCAGATCACTTCCAGGTCCACAAGAGATTAACCTGTAAACTTTGTGGGCCAATTAAAATGGCAGGTTCCAGGGATCTTATAGATCCAGAAGGAACCTGCTTGAGGAATATCTGGTAGGCAGGTCCACTGATTACCAGCTTAACAACTGGCAACAAGTGATCTGAGCTTTTGACATAATAACTCCTCTGTGTGTGATCCTGGTTTTTCTCCTTAACTTACCAATAGAGAATAATTTTAGCTCAGGGTTGAATTGTGGGGTCCTTTATGCCCTTGGTTGTTTTCTTGCAGTCGTTTCATTGCCAAACAGGTGACCCTTCTAGCATTGATGATAATGAAACGACTGCAAGAAAATAACCAAGCTCAGAGAGCACCAAGGACCTCTTTAATCTATGGAGGAACTTCAAGAGATGAAGAAAAACAGCTCCTGGCTGAGAAAGACTAGATCTGAATCTGTTCGAGCCCAAGTAGGAACTCAAGGGGTCAGAAAGCTGGGGGGAGGGGGGTGTAAATAAATGTTAAGAACATATTTTGCAAAGATAGGTAGGATCAAGTATTAGTTTATAGAAAGACGTGAAAAGAATGAATCAGAATAAGTCAAAGAGCAGCCCGTGGATCACAGGTGTTTGCATTCATTTGTTTGTTTAGTAGATGTAGAAGCCACATGACTCCAGAATTTATTTAGGCAGCTTGCCCTTAAACATGAAAAAAATAAAAAAAATTGTCCAGATGAATAAAACTACAAGCAGCCCACTCAAAGGCTCTGTAACTTCCCTACCACAAGACCTGAGAGAACAGCCAGGTTTTTTTAAAAACTTACATAATAAAATCAGTATGGATGCTAAATGGATGCCTGGGAAATCTCCATATTCATAATGACAAGGAAATAGTGTCATGTTCACTGAGATATCACAATGCAAAGGCAGTCTCATTTTAATTTTATATGCCAGCCCTCTTAGAGTTGAAGTGAGTATATACCAATATTCTTCGCTTCATTTCCGTATAACTTATCTCTTAGATCAGAGGTCTTCAAACTTGACGGCTTTAAGACTTGGGGACTTCCAACTCCCAGAATTCCTGAGCTAACATGACTGGAGAAGGGATTCTGGGAGTTGGAAGTCCCCAAGTCTTAAACTTGCCAAGTTTGAAGACCCTTGTCTTAGATGGAAGCGGAGGGGGGAGGTGGAGGAAACCTGCCTGCAATTTGCTGAGTGTGATACTGAATTAACAAGGCTTGCCTTTGTTACTGGAACATGCACTCTGCATCCTGTGTTTGCAATGCTGATGTGTTTTTGTTGTTAACTCTACTTTAGATTTCCATGCTGGAATCGCGCTCTTGAAGTGAGACTGGTTTTCCTCTTTCTGTTTTGCGTAGCGCTGTCCGTTACCTGGGCTGTGTTTCGGAACAATGAAAGGTAAGTGAAGAATGAGAGGCAGTTTTGTCTCGTGATTTAAAGCACCCAGGCTAAAAAGGAGGAGGCTGTGAGTTCTAATCCTGCCTTAGGCATGAAAGCTAGCTGCATGACTTCGGCCCAGTTACTAGGAGACCATGAGTTCCAGTTCCACCTTAAGCATGAAAACCGACTGGGTGACTTTGGGCCAATCATCAGGAGATCGTGGGTTCTAGTCCTGCCTTAGGCATGAAAGCCAACTGGGTGATTTTGGACCAAGTCCCTCTCTCTTAGTCCAACCCACCTCACAGGGTTGTTGTAGTAGGGAAAATAGGAGAGGAGGAAGGTGTGTCGGATATGTTTGTCCCCTTGAGTTATTTGTAAAATAAGAAAAGGAGGGGTGCAAATAAAAAAATAAAACAAAGTGAAGAATTTTAGGCTTTGGAATAAACACTGCTAGGAAAAAAACAACATTTCTTCTGCTGTAGAAGAGAAGCGGCAAAGAGGCACCAGGGTGTGTGGGCGATTGTTCAACTAAAATCACACACACACCCTTTTTTCCCCCATGCACACAGGGCAAATGCACAATTGTGCCCACTATCATGGATTCCCCTCCCCTCCCCTGTGGATATCTCTGTCAGAATAGCTCTTCCTCTCTCCTCTCCAAAATCTTGCACACTTCAGTATCTGTGCCTATATTTTAAATTTTCAGAGGGCTGAAAAGGGGATTTTTTTTTTAAATTCCAGGAGCTTGAGCCCACAAAATTGGCTGTTAATCCATCTGTCTTAGCGAAGCAGGGTTGAGTCACCAATGAGAAGGATAAAATTTCATCGTTTTGATAACATAAAATAGAATAGAATTATTTATTGGCCAAGTGTGATTGGACACACAAGGAATTTGTCCTTGGTGCATATGCTCTCAGTGTACATAAAGGGAAAAATACATCAAGAATCATAAGATACAATACTTAGTGATAGTCATAGGTTACTATAAGCAATCAAATCATACATAGGTTACTAATACGCAATCAAAACATACTAGGAAAACAAGTAAAACAATAAAAATTGTAAAGATACAAGCAACACAGTTATAGTCATAAGTGGGAAGAGATAGGTAATAGGAAGAATGAGAAAAATAATAGCAATACAGTCTTACTAAATAATTTGTCAGTGTTGTGGGAGTTAGTTGTTTAGCAGAGTGATGGCATTCGGGGAAAAACTGTCCTTGTGTCAAGTTGTTCTGATGTGCAGTGCTCTATAGCGTCGTTTTGAGGGTAGAAGTTGAAAATTTATGCCCAGGATGTGAGGGGTTTGTAGATATTTTCACAGCCCTCTTTTTGACTCGTGCAGTTTACAGGTCCTCAGTGGAAGGCAGGTTGGCAGCAATTCTTTTTTTCTGCAGTCCTAATTACTCTCTGAAGTCTGTGCCTGTCTTGTTGGGTTGCAGAGCCAAACCAGACAGTTATAGAGGTGCAGATGACAGACTCAGTAAAACATAGTTTTAGACCTGTGACCCCCTCCCAACCTTTTGGGTACCAGGAGCCAGTTCCATGCCCCTTTTTTCCACAGACTGGAGGTGGCGTAGTTTTGCATGCTGCGTGCATCCCGCGGATGGGACTTCTCTTGTTTGTATGGCCTGATTGCTGGCATGCCTGACCCAGTGCTGGTCCAGGGACTGGGGGTTAGGGACCCCTGTTTTAAATGACAGTGAATCTGTCACTTGCCCAATCCTTCCGCGTGTGTATTTATTCAGAAGCCTGTGCCGTTATACTCCTAGGAACATTATTCTTTATTCAGTGTGTTGAGGGATAATAGCTGAATTTTGAACAAGTATATGTAGCATTCTTGTGCTTAAACATAACCTTTTTTTTTTTTTAATTTTAGCTGGGCTTGGATTTTACAAAACATCCTGGGAATTTCTTTCTGTCTGAACTTTATTAGAACACTCAAAATGCCCAACTTCAAGGTACAGTAACTTATTTAACTAAACTATAGGTACACAAGTAAATTATAGAGTGAAGGAAAGGGTGTATTTTTAATCTGCCACTCAGCTTAGCCTTAAATTTTGTCTTCAGAGCAGCTCGGGAAGATTTTTCCCCATTACAGTTAACTTTCTTTGTTACAGAGGTGCTGGATTTCAGCTGCTTTTACACAGGCAGTCAAGCTGAGGAAAGAAATGTGTTTTCAGCCTATGTTAATAGATAACAAACAGACAGGGATGCAATCTTGCCTTATATTGAAATAATATAGCACTTGTAAGGGCAAAAACAAAATTTCTACTGTTGATTTGAAGACCTGAACATACATTTGAAAGTGATAGCAGGGATCCATGGGATGTTTTTTTAAAGAAAAAAAACAGATTAATAATACTGTAAATACATTAATAGATTACAGTTTCCTTTTCTAAAAATCAACTGGCTATGTAATCTGTTTTCTGATTGTTTTTTTTTTAACTGAATCACAATCTTTGGGCTAAATCTAGAGTAAATCCTACTTGGAGTTAACCCATTGAAAACACTGGACAAGATAACCCCGAGTGAATGCCCAGGAAAACTAGTCTGTTTATTCTACGACCAAAGAATTTGTATTTATGCAGCTGTTTATGGCCATTACTAGAAAGACCACAGAAAGGAAAAAGAACCCCAAATATGGAATGAATGTCTTTTAAGTTTGAAAGGGTTTTGCATACATTTTGTTTTGTTTTGTTTTTAAAAATAAACACCTGTTCTTTGTTCTCTAGTCATGTGTGATTCTTCTAGGTCTCCTTCTTTTATATGATGTATTTTTTGTCTTCATCACACCTTATATTACAAAAGTAAGTATGCAGGTTTCATAACAATTCTTTTCATCATGCAGAGGGGGTTCGATTTTTTAGTGTAGTGTTTTTATGAGAAATATGCTCCAATACAGTGAAAGTTTCAAGTGTACGGGTCCAACTTTTTGATTTAATCTGATATATACCCGGTGTAGAGCATGAAGACTAAGCAATACAGGTAGTCCTTCACTTAAAAATATTCATTTAGCGACCATTTGGAGTTATAACAACATTGGAAAAAGTGCCTTACAACAGGTCCTCACACAACCATCACAACATCTCCACAACCATATGATCAAAAATTTGTGCATTTGGCAACCGGCATATATTTATCATGATTGCAGCATCCCAGGTCTTGTGATCACCAGGTGTGATCTTTCCAGCCAAAAGGTGTGTGACTTGCTTAACAATCTCTGTGCTTAGCAACAGAAATTCTGGATCCAATTGAAGTCTTAAGTCAAGGACGAGCTGTAGAATATTGGCTGTTGTTCAATGCCACCAGTTGCCTTTGTGTGGCACTGTGATGCCATTAAATTAGAATAAAGTCTAGATAAAGTGAACCACATAATATCTCAAACTCTTAAGTCTGGTACTTTTAAACATTCCAAACAATTTATTTCAGGACCAATAGTCCAGTTCTCAAAATACAGAGACTAAAAGTCCATTATTTATTTAATTTACTATATAAACATTGGCATAACTACTCTTTTTATCTTCTGCTTATTTTATTTTGAAATATGTGCTTAGGCTTCATGTCCTTTTTGGTGTTTTGATATGTGTTTAAGTTTTCTGGTCCGATGTAAATGGCATTAAATCGGCCTAGTTTGATGCTCGTTTCTAATAAATTTGTGAAATATACTTGCAGCTAGCATTATCTGTAAATCACATAGAACCAACTGGGTTATCAAGTTTGTTCTGATTTTGCCTTTTTTTAAAAAAAAAGTTTCCTCATCTCATGTTAATCTTTCTTTGATTATGAACCATCCCGATTCCTAATTCATTCCATTTTATATGAGTTTGGCCAAACATGTCCTGAAAAAAAAATGCATTGACTTTTAAATGCTTAATATTTTAAGTATTTCCAGAATGAATGCTTCAGCCTCAATATTCTTTTTTCAAACTTTCAGAGTGGAGAAAGTATCATGGTTGAAGTGGCAGTCGGACCTCTTGAAAGCAGTGAAAAGGTATTGAATATTGAATCTTTTGAAAAACCAGTAGCTCTTCTGTTTGCACAGGTTGGGTTACATTGTAATATTGCACCTGTTGTACATAATCATGCTAAACGCATCCTTGAGACCTCGTAAAACAGTGTTTCTCAACCGTGGCAACCTGAACATGCACGGACTTCAACTTCCAGAATTTCTGGCTGGGGAATTCTGGGAGTTGAAGTCCACCCATCTTCCAAGTTGCCAAAGTTGAGAAACATTGTCTTAAATTTTGGGGGGGGAGAGATAAAGCGAATGCAGGGCTGATCTTTTTCCTCCTCTGTGTGAAGTGTGCTTGGATATTGCCCTTAATATTCCAATATAAACTGCTTAGAAAATGTAGCCATTTTTAAAACCTTTTTTCTTCCAAGTATTAAATGGTTGTTGACTTGGGTTTGATCCTAGAGTGATGGAAACTTGATGGATGCCTCTGCTGAACAGTCAGCTCCTCATGAGAAAGTAAGGATTGTGTTTAAGATAACATTCCATGGATTTTCAGTGGCCTACTTTCCAAAATAAAAACAAAAAAATCAATATTCTTTGGGGCAAGGGAAACAAAACACCTGTTCTCTGTTCTCTCCACGTTAATTTCTTCAGGATTTAGATCTTAAGGGTTGCCCAATCAATTTTGATCAGGCTAAAAATCTTTTTTCCTCGTTTCTCGGGGTTCTTCATTTTATCAAATCATTTGTCAGTGGTGTCTGTCTGCTAAATACAGATGTTTCCTCCGTGGTGTTTGTGTTTGATCATACTTTTTGTGCACTCTGCTTCTTGGTTGCTGTTTTCTGAATGTTAACAACTTTTTCTGTGTACACTAGATGAGCAAGATAATTCTGATAACATTTTATTTGTTGTGAAACATCCTTTGGGTTGGTCTTACAGGTTTTTTTTAAAAAACATTGTTTTTCAGTTGCCCGTGGTCTTCAAGGTGCCCAGGTTGGACTTGTCACCAGCCGTGTTATGTATGAGGCCATTTTCATTACTTGGATTTGGTGATGTTGTTGTTCCAGGTAAGTGTCTCTTTCAGCTTTCTGTCCTTCTGAGGTGGGTAAAATGAGGACCCAAATTGTTGGGGACAATAGACTGATAATAGGCAAATAGAGAGGGCTCTAAAGCACTGTGAAGTGGTATGTAAGTCTTAAGTGCTATTGCTATCCTAACATGGTGCTTGGGGAAAACACAGGGAAAGAATTGTTCACATAATGACCGTGTGGGACATTATAGAATAGAATAGAATAGAATAGAATAGAATAGAATAGAATAGAATAGAATAGAATAGAATAGAATTCTTTATTGGCCAAGTGTGATTGGACACACGAGGAATTTGTCTGGGTACATGTGCTCTCAGTGTACATAAAAGAAAAGATACATTCGTCAAGAGTCAAGAATCATCAGGTACAAGACTTTATAATAGTCATAGTGTACAATAAGCAATCAATCATACTAGGAAACAGTCAACCGTCAATTTTAGGTCCATATATAGCAAGTTTCCTGGTTTCTAAACCATTTTGTTCACACAAACACATCCTATACATGTATATTGCACAGAAGACAGAGACCGAGTTTACTCTTCTAGTTTCACTGTTTTTTCTTATCAAGTATAAAAATTATTGCAACAGAGGATCTGCAGAGTAAATTCTAATATAGCTAAATGTAACCCATAGAATTCTGCGGACCCCACTGCCAAAACAATAATTTGCAGTTAGATCTCCAAGTATAAGTTGAAATATTTATTAATTTTCTTATGAAAGGCAGAAAAGACAAACAAAGCAGGGAAAAACTAAAAAATCAGAAATAGAGGCCAGTGCTATCTGATTCCCCCACTCCCAAAAGCTACATACAGAACTATTGCTTTAAAAGGTAAAGGTTCCCCTTGCACGTACGTGCTAGTCGTTTCTGGCTCTAGGGGGCGGTGCTCATCTCCGTTACAAAGCCAAAGAGCCAGCACTGTCTGAAGACGTCTCCGTGGTCATGTGGCCGGCAGGACTAAACGCTGAAGGCGCACGGAACGCTGTGACCTTCCCACCAAAGGGGTCCCTATTTTTCTTCTTGCATTTTTACATGCTTTCGAACTGCTAGGTTGGCAGAAGCTGGGACAAATAACAAGAGCTCCCTCTGTTAGGGGGCGCTAGGGATTCGAACCACCAAACTGCCAACCTTTCTGATCGACAAGCTCAGCATCTGAGCCACTGAGTCCAAGGTTATTTATAAGCACTCATAAACCCCAGGTTAAAATTATGGGAGGGAAAGAACTTGAGAGTGCATAATGAAACAGCTCTCCCAAACCTCTGTGATTCACTTAACAAATATGGCAAGAAAAGGCGTAAAAATGGGGCAAAACTCACTTAACAAATTCCTCATTTAAGAACATAAATTTTGGGCTCAGTTGTGTAAGAGTGTAGTCCTGTTGTTTTGATGACGTCATTTCCTTCCTGGCAAAATCTCTTGTGACCTGTCTTTCATTTTGGGTGTTGTTGTTTTTTAAGGTCTCCTGGTTGCGTACTGCAACAGATTTGATGTGCAAACCAGTTCTTCCTCCGTGTATTTCATTTTCTGCACCATAGGTAATCTATCCCAACAATTGTTTTGAAAAACAGTATTAGGAATGCCGCTCGAGGTGAGATCCGACCCCAGCCTCTTGGCCTTTTAGGAGAAGCCTTAAAACTCTGCCAATTGGCCTGGGGTCCTGGCGTTTCATATTGGAGGTGGTTAGCAGATTAAGAGAATATTTCACCTCCAGCCCACTGCATGTTGCTCCTTTCCTAGCTATCCTTGTTAGTTTTAAGCTGCCAGTCTGGGGAAATTCCTGTATAAGAGACAGAGAACAATAAAGTAGTTAACTTGAATCTTACATACATGGGTCTGGTTGTTTGCACCTGATGAATAGTAACACTCATTATTTTAATGTTTTAATATTGCCATTTTGGCTTGTGTAAGCCGCCTAGAGCCACCTGACAGTTAATTGGGCAGCATACAAATGTAATAAATAAAAATAAATTACCATGCCTCGCCTTAAGCCAAGAAACCTGAAAATCTGCGATATTCAGTGACGTATTTTTTTAAAAAAATGTTTTGCCTTGTTCTGCAGCTTATGGTGCCGGCATGGTGCTCACCTTTGTGTGTCTAATATTGATGCAGAAGGCTCAACCAGCTCTTCTCTATTTGGTGCCCAGCACACTCATCCCTTGTGTCCTGGTTGCTTTGTACCGCAAGGAGATGAAAAAATTCTGGAACGGTAACAGCTATCAGGTGAGGAGAAACTTTTCGGGGCCTGTGAGTAGCTGCTGCTCATCCCTCTTCATATAGAGATCCAGAGTTGACCATAGCTATTGGGTTAGGATTGGCAAGTTCAGCAACAAGGTCGCTCTTGGTGGTGATAATTCTCTGCCTGATGCTGACCCACTCGGTGTCCCTTAGTCCAACATAGCTCACAAGACTGTTGTTGTTAGGGATATACACCCTAGCAGAACGTGCAACGGTAGTCAGTCAG